TCATCTTTCAGATCGCATTTAGCTTTTATTTAGAATTGAAAGAGATACTAGATAGAAAGTAGAAAGACTAAAATACTCTCAACTTTTCTTTTTGGGTGAGACAAGCTAAGGAAGAATCGAGAACCTAGATTCTATTATCCTCCTTTCTCCTATCCCTCAGTGACCCCCTCCACCCGCCTCTCCCCCCCAAAACACCCTGAATTTCAATTTCTGCCTTTTTTCATTAGCCCAACAGGTATTTCCCCGGTAACGCAATGATCCCACCTCTTTTCATCTTTCCTGTTAGTATCAGGAAGAGTGGCATAAGTGAAAGGACATTTGCTGCTAGTATTTGATTTTTGCAATGGTTAAGTAATGTTCCACACTTTGCGTGCTTGTCAAGTTCCACATCCCATAGGACAGCTCCATGTAAGAGAAGTTGTTGGAACCTAATTTAGTTTTTCAATCAGAATTTTCATTTTATTTTCCTAAGTTTCATTTTTGCTCTTGTTATATACTGTTAATATTTGTGTTTTCCTGAGACCTCCCTGAAATTTATGTTTCCAAATTTAGATTAACAGCTTTTGTTAACATAATTTTCAGTTAATTTTTAATAAGTTTGTAAGTAAAACTGGATCTCACAAATTGATTCTTTAGAAGTGAATTCATGCTTTTATTTAATTTTCCTTTTATGGTGGTTTTAAGTACAAATTATTTTCAATAAATTTACTTGGTAAATGTTAATGATAATAATTTTTATTAAAATATGAGTAAATTTTACTACTGTTACTTCAGCAATTTTGGATTTTTATTTATAAACTTACATTTGTTTAGGTTTACATAATTTCTTTTTCACAAGTATATGCCACCTATTAAAAGTGGCATTTCCTTAATATTTATGGAATTTATATCTTTAACTAGATTTTTGGTCTAGCATAATTAGCAAGTGATTATTTACACATACTCTTCTTCCTTTCTGTTGTTAGTCTCTTGGGTATGAGGGTATTACTATTTTTAAAATATTTAAATTGGTTGGAGTATAAGTTTGTTAATTCCTGAAACATATCTTATTCTACCTTAGATATTTGTCTTCTCAAATATTAGTATACACTGATTTCACATATATAGGGTTTTGATCTTTTGCAAGTTTGAGTGAAAGCTAATACTTTTACATTATAACTAAGGCTTCAGAATCAAAAGACTATAGTATTTTGCTTATAAAAATGATGAATGGCCTTATTTGATGCTACTTAGAAATGTTTCCTTTATGAAATGCATCGGTTTTTTTTTTTTTTTTTTTTGATAATGATTTGAATTATGAATGTTCCCAGTTTAGGTCCTTAATATAGAATGGCCTAATAATCTATCCCACAGGTTGTTGTGAAGTTTAACTAAAGTGTTTGAAAACATTTAAACATACAAACAAAGTATTAAGTGGTTGTCTAACAGTGCAGTTTTTACTGGACACATGTCTGAAAGTCTGTCTTACTGACTGATCTTTTGGGGGCTTCATAGATCAACTTTCCAAGCTCATTGTTTGTTTCTGCAATCCAGTGTTTAGCTTAATGTTGAGGTATTTAATATTTTTTTCACTTTTTGTTTTGAGGTACTTAAAAAGTAGTGTTGGTTCTCGTACCATTCATTGTTATGTTTGTCCTCATTAGTTGACTGTTGTGTGTTAAACAGACATCCCTGGAGCTTATTCTCCACACTCTGTGAATCCACTCATTAATCACCAGTCACCTTTGGAGATGGGAAAATTACTTACCTGTATTTCTTTTTCTCAGAAAGCGTGCTCTGGAATGGATTCACAAATGAGCTACCCTCCTTCCCTCAAAGAGTAAGGTTTCTGCTTTACAGGATTTTTTTCTTGGGTTATTTTTCCTCTCATCTTTTGAATTTGAAAAGAACTGAGGGAAGGCACCTGAAGAAACTACTGACATACTCACTAGGGGAGTTCCCAAGCTTGTGCTGCCCCTAGGGGCAGTGTCAATGGCTCTTAAAGCTAGAAAGCTCATACTTGGAGTTGAAACAGGGGCTCAGAGAATCCATTTTCCCAGTGTACCTTCTGAAAGGATAAGTTTCAGGTAAGTAATTTTCTCTTACTATGCGATATGCTTTATTTATACCTATAAAAGTACACAGGTTTAGTTCTCCAGGTGTATAGGCAATGTATTTGTTCAGTTTAGGTGCATAAGCTTTACTGCTTGTTAGAAATATTGTAAAACAAATATGTCTGCTCATGAGGTACATGAAATCATAATATATTTTAAGTTAACAAGTATTTAATAAAGGTGCATTTATGATCAGGGTATTGTGTTAGTGTTGTCATTTATTTTATTCTTTATTGAATAAAATCTTGATAAACTTACTTTTTTAGGAATTAGAAACAGAAAAAGGTCTTTTGAATTCAAATTCCAAGCAGTATTTAAAGTTTTGTGTGTGTATGTGTTAGTGCATGTGTGCACACACATATATACACATAGGCTAGGATGATGGCACTTATTTACCTCAAATTAGATGCTTTCTGTATGTATATTGACCAGAATGAATTATTCAAGTAATTTTTATATATTTCTACAATTAAAAAAATTGTTGTGAGATAGTGTGAGCTGTTATAAGTGAGATTTTTTTTCAGTATAAGCTATATATAGTATGGATTTAGCTTAAGTGTTATATTCTTTAGTGCTTATCAGATATTTCTACTCATTTCTTTATCTACTAAATGTGAGGTGGCTACTAGTGAGTAACAAAAAAATAGCAAAATATTAAACATTGGCTCACTGATATTCTGTGTATTTTGTCTTATTAAAATAAATTACAGTTGCTTTAGTATTTTAAGTTTCAAACATTCTGTATATTTTTTTCTTCAAAAGTAGTTTTTAAGTGAAACTTACATTGAAAGTGGTCCATATTAACAAGACAGCATTTTAAAATATACATTTCACGTATGGTTAAGGTGGGTTTGACCACCTTCATCCATTAGAAACAGCAGTTCTGAAGTTGGAAATAAGTAAAAAAGACTTTTGAGTAAAAAATGGCAGTCTCGAAGTACATGCATTTTTCTCTGCACCTGAGAGTGGCAGTTATGTCCCAGTCACGGGGATTATTGACAGCTAAAACTAACAGCTACTTCCGGAAGGAAGAAAAAGAGAGTGCATAGTACATACCCGAAACAGTTAAGGTTCAAAGAATATTCATCTTGATTTCTTCCAAGGATATTACTTTTACTACAGTGACATTGAGTCAAAATTTTCTCGTCTAAGATTATTCATTTACTCTGATTCAAGGATTTTGGGCAGCTTATCAAAAGAACTTTGAAATTGAAGTAGAACTTTAATATCAATGATTTGAATCAGTAAGTTTTTGTGACTGACTTTAGATTTGGCTTTGAGTCTTCTGACAGACACCTGGCAAATAGGAAAAATGGGGTCAATTATATAGTTCTCATTATTAGGTAGGAGGAAGTACATAAATTCTTTAAAGACAAACAAATCTATACTTAACTCTAAATTTTGAAAGAAATGTCTATGAATTACTTAATACAGAGGCATTGAGCGATGAAATGTCACTGTTTAAGTTTTTTTTAAGTGCAAGGACTGTAATGGATCTGCGTTTACAAAAAAAGGTTTTTATATTCAGAAAACAGATAATTGTCTCAAAAACTTATTGCCTGATTCTAGGATATCATGAATTGTTAAAATGCAGTATTGATTTAGTAATGGCTCTGGGGTGGATGAGGGGAGAACTGCTACATTGAATAATTGCACATCGTAGTATAGGCAAAAAGTTAAAATGTGACCGTTAATGAAATAGGTATATTATAAAAAGGTGACAATCAAAAATGGTCATCATCAACAAGTAAATGAAATGTTAAGAACTATGATGTATGGTTTTTCCAAAGACATCAAAAGGGTTTTATAATTTTGCACTGCTCCTTTTTTATAAGATAATATATTTTAGTAAGATAAAAAACTTAAAAATCGTAATTATCCAGCCAAAGAAACCCATCTTCTCAGGTGTGAGGATAGTAATTGGATATGTGAACTTGCTCTGAAAACGAAGCACAAAACACATAGTGTGTGCATACATGATTGGTGTACTGTAATCTTTCGAAACGCATTTTGGTGAATCTTTTAAAATAAGGAAATATAAAAGTAATGAGTTCTTGGAAATACATTGTTGAAAGAAAAGTTTAGATGTATCTGAAATGCAACATAATCAGTTTAATAACAATCTGCAATTAGATATGAATATGTTTAACTTTGGGGTTTCCTATGCCTATAGTAGAAAGCAAAATTATTTCCTGAGTCTTTTGTTTTCTGTCTTCTTTTGAGCTTCTTCCATTTTACCCTCTCTGTTCTTTGGAGAACAGCTAACCATTGAATGTTCTGTGCTTGTTTCCTTACTGAAATTTTATTGCCAGAGTAGGACTGTTTATTCTTTTGTGAATCCTATTTTAAGGCACTTGTATTGATCCTTTTCCCAGTAGAAAGTTTTGCAAAAATGAGAGAAAATTTTTTGAGGTCATAAAAACCACACAAGCCACATGTATCTCTGATCTACACATTTTTTTTTCTGTAATAGAGATCAAATCTTTACATTTGTACAAGAAAAGCTAAGATTTCATTGATTTGTTACATTGAGACAGTTTCCTTAAATTTTCTTGCATCATATTCTTTGGGTTTACTCTTCATTATAGACTGATATATTATGTTTAACAATGCTTCTAACTTTTAAGCTGTTTTGTTTCCTTAGTCTTTTGTATTGCTCATGACTTTAAGGTTTTACAATTTGAAGTAGTTTTTAACATCATAAAACTCTGGTGACATATCATTTCTTTATTACGTTCCCAAATATGCCTTTTATTTTTATGTACAAGGGCTCTTGGGAATGATTCTCTCAGAGGCTTAAGCTGTGTCTTGCCTTCCGTGAGAACTGAAATTATTTGGTAAGCGCTTGCTTTCTTTTTAGCTTCTAATTTTTCCCTATTTTATTTTGTACATGATATTTGTTTCAAGGTCAAAGGTTCCGTTACAGTTACTATGATGAATCCCAGGGGGAGATTTATAGATCCATTGAACATCTAGATAAAATGGTAAGTCTTTCAGGTGTGGGGTTTTAATGCTCTAAGGTTTTTTCTTTAATTTCAGATTAGTGATTCAAGGCTTAATATGTTGAAATATACAATGGACTAATAATT